GAGCTTCATCGTCTGTCTTTATCACAATCTGGAATTCCATATATAAAATTGTAGAAGCTCACAGTTAAAGAATACACCGATATCTCTTGACAAGGCCAACTTGGTTTATAACAGCCCAAAGGGACTGATACATTGAGCCCATGAGTCTACATTTAAGGAGCAACTCTTAAAATAATTGGTGCCCACACTACACTAACAAAGCTCTTTCAGAACAACAGACAAAGCCAAATATAGGAAATTACCTCCTACAAAATATCTGCATATCCAACTATTCCGACTCAGGGTTGTTTGGGGTCTGTAAGCAAAGATTCATCAGAAATATCGGAACTGTGGCAGCAATCCATATCACACAGCATCAGATAATATTGAATATGCACAGAATAGTGAAGCTCTGGGCTGTCCAGACTCTGAGAAGGTTCAGCACCCTTTTTCTGTTGAGATACAGTTGGTATTCCAATTTCGTAAAGTTCCAAACTTGCTTCCTTTTCTGCCCCAGTATCACTGAGACAATCAGTGCCATCACCAAAAGCCGTGAGCTTTAGGACTAAACACCAATGTTGAGCCTCTAACTTTTAGAAAATGACTCCCCATGGTAGTGGTTCTGGGAACGGGCCATAAGGACAGTGATCAAAATTTAAAAATTTTCCATATCAAGAACTTTGCATCAAATGCAAAGTGTGATGTTATACACACCTCTCTTTTATAACCTCCATAATGACATAGTGAAATTAGTCTGCACATAAGAAGTCTTCGTTGTGCTACAAGATTACATTAAGTACATAAGAATGCAACTCCACTAAAAATCTGCCTTATTATATGCTTGCTACAATGAGCATCACTAATTGCTTACGTTTTAGTAGAGGAGGGAGGGTAGCAGTGATTTAGATGAATGCCTTTGGACTCACATTTTCCTGTAGCAATCAAACATTCAGAATCATTTCGTTGACCTCAGCTGTGCTTAAACTTGGAGGAGCTTCTCTTGTAAAACTGCCATTTGGCGCATCTACGGGACTATATTATCCCATGTCATAAACTCCTTTACACATGCTGACAAAGGAAGGGCCTTTAGGAACACGTGCAGAAGAAAACAAGTTTAGTATTTTTACTGCTTTCTCAGTAACATATTTCATGTTATCCTAAAATTTTTACTTCTAAAGTGTCAAGATTTACCCCTTAATACTCTAAGAATATCTAAACAAGTAATTATTTACCTTACTCTTATCTGAAGTAATTAATACAGTTGTTGAAGGAATTCCACCTTTTTTAAAAAGTTAAATGGTTTGGTTATGATTATATATATATATATTTCTAAAGAATATGATGTTCCAGGATGGAAATCGCCTGATGTCCCACCTCCCGGGAACATTATAACATTGTGAGTTTACAGGAAATAGGTTCTTCCCCAAACCAGAGCCACGAGAGCTGTGGGTTTCTGTTGGCTGAACAACACTAAACCCTTGTTCCACTGTCAATGTTTCTGCTCCTTTGTTTAAAATATACTAACAAGCCTATGTATATACAACTTTACAGGTGAAGATCTTTTGGCAAGGAGTTAAAGTCAAGAACAAATGTGGTAGAAACAAATACAATTTCCTTGTTTCCCTTCAACTTAAACTGGAAATTAATGATTTCTGAACTGAAGCCTTCATCACACATGATGTGAGGTCCACAATGAGGACAAGCAAAATGGCACCATCCATCTGGGCTAGCTATCAGCCATTTTCCTGATGAATGAAGCAAAGAGGCCCAGGAGACTGCCATTTTACAAATGTCAACAGTTGTTTAAAAAAAAACAAACAAACATTGCTGAGCTTGCAAGAACAGATTTAGAACAGGGGGTCAGCTAACTTTGTTTGTAAAGGACCAAACAGCATGTTAGGCTTTCTGGACCATATGGTCTCTGTTGCAACTGGCCAGCTCAGCCACAGTGGTGCAGAAGCTGCCACAGACAACACACACATGAATGAGCATGGCTAGGTTGCTGGCTTCCTAGAGAACTATTTACAGACACTGAAATTAGAATTTTATATAGTTTTCATAGTCACGAATATTCCTCCTTGGATTTTTTTTCTCAATTATTTAAACATGTAAAAACCATTCTCAGTTCAAGAGCCATACAAAAACAAGTGGCAGGCTGGATTTGGCTCAAGGGCCATAGCAGACCTGACTTTGCAAGCTGGGAACAAGAGGCATACAGGTCTGAGAACAAGCAAGATAGTGTAGCCATACTTTTACGACTGAGAATTGGAAGCTTTTGGGCATTGCAAATGTAAATATGTCCTGTAAGATTCATTATAATTCAGCTTAGTTTCTATATTGTGTACCATAGTGTACTCTTCTCTAAGATTTCTTTTTACATATAGAACGATGTTGGTTTCAAGTTTATTGCTTATGTATTCACAGATTATTCCACGTTTGGTTTTCACAACATAAATTTAGAATGATGTGTAATTTAATATCTACTGAGTTGTGATGTCTTAACAAGAAACTTAACCATTTTTTAAAGCAAAAGTAGACTGAATTGGTGTTTAAATTTATTTATTTTGCAAGGTTTGTATTGACACTGTACTTATATATTTATTATACATAGCTTCTTGATATCGCTTAGGGATTAGAAACATTAGTGGTTCTGTCTTACTCTTTGAAGACAAATCTCCTAAAAAGAAAATGTATGCTCTGAATACCTGAAATGGGCCAGAAATAAAAAAGCTCCACTTTCATTTTTGATTCACTGAAGAGCTATTGATCCAAGTCCTACTTGCCAATTGATGTAAATTATTTTTAAAACTTTGCTGTATAAAACTATCATGTAAGCGTAAAGGATTCTTCTTATTCTTGGTATAAAGCAATTAAAATGAAATATGATTTTTAAAATGAAATATATGTTCCTCTAAAGTAAAATCCAAATTTTATCTTTCTATTGATACTAAAATTTGATGTTTTTTTTTTTTCAAATTATAAAGCACACTAAAAATCCTCAACTTTGCTTTGAGTTTTTTTTACCAATTAAAAAAAAGAATTAAAACGATCCCCAGTTATTTTCATATTCTAGAAACCAAAAGTGTTAAAAATACACCACAAACCTTTCATGTTATTGGAAGTTCTTACCGACTCAAAATGCGTTAATGCTACAAGAACCACCAATTACTTGTTGGCAGAATTCAAGCTCATCCAGTTTGATGAGCTCATACAATGCTGCAGGTCTCCTTTTAAATCAATCAATCTCTCATAAATGCACAATGCTGCCCCGTTTTAAAAAGTATTCCAGAAACATGTTATCAAGCTTCTATAAAATAGGCATTTTTCCCTCTGGTTTGGCTTACCATGTATTGAAAACCAAGTTGCTATCTAACTGGCTAGAGTCAAAATGAAAACTGTACAGAGTAGAGATGAAAGGCAAAACTGACCTCCCTAGGTTTATCATTTGGCCTTGACTTTTTGGCTCTTTTTAAGGTTCACCCTACTCCACTTCACAGCCTTTAACATAGCTGATTTGACTACAACACAAAATCTGAAATTTACCGTGAGACTGAACATGTAAGACTGTTTTAGCAAGTGAGTGAACCAGCCAGCTGCCTACATTGCAAACCCACTTGGTTGTTCATTCCATGTTGAAGTAAGAGTAGGTACTCTATTATATGTGAGTCTTTGGAATTTTAGGAGTATTACAACCAACCAGCACAAACCTGGTGTTTGCCAAAAATATGAAAATTTTATTTATGGCTTATCTGAATCATACAACTATTAGTATACCAAATGAAATTATCCTATTATTTAGAATGCATCTAAAATAGCCATCCAGACTATACCCATTACCACTTCATACTTTTCAGACTACTAAAAATCTGGGTAGCAAATTTTCAGTATAATTCATAATGGAAAAGAATCTAAATATGCAAGCTGTCACTCTGTTAGGTGGTGACAACTTTTTAAAAAACCCGATAGCTGGCAAAAAAGGATTAGAGTATAAGAATCTACTGTGGTTTGTGATGCTCAAAGAGATTAACTTCCTCTTGGTCACGAACCATTCATCTAGAATTGATTACTTTGCAAAGTGTAAAATTACTAGAGGAAATGGGGTAAGTTTGATGAAAAATCTGTAAGAAGTAACACTTTTTGGGCACAAAGTGCCCTCTTGAGGGAACACTTCTTTTCATGTCTTTATTAAGTAAAAGTTGTTTATAAATTCTCCAGTTGGGGTAAATATGAAATCTAGACTCAACAAAGGTGAGTTACCAGTGCTTGTAATCAAATTTGCTTTCATACAAAGGACTCCCATCTTGACAGTTCTGGAGACACTGGAGCCTCCCCTACTGTTACATATGTACTGTTTTTAACTACATCTTCCCATTCCTCTGTTCTGTCCCTTTCTAATCTCTGTCAACCTCTCTTCCTCTAAGTTATTAGAAAAGAGAGATTGCCTCTAACAGAGTCCATGCTTGGGTCATTTCCATGATACAGTGCATTAACAATTTATGTGTTTTCTGCCATCTCTGTGCATCAACCCCCTGAAAGCAAATCCTTGGCTGATGGCTAAGTATCCTGACATAGGAATACCTGAAGTGAATGTTTTTGAAATACTTGCTGACATCTCCATGATTATCGAAATATTCATAAATGTCTCTTAGACCCAAAACATACTATGCGCAAGCCTGCCATTAAGCAGGACTCTGAAACCTTCCCTATTTCAGGTGACACGGGTCTCTGAACTTTGAAACAACTCAGTCTGACACTGAATTAGGTAAAGTATTTTGGAGGGGTTGTGTGAATGATCGGACAGCATGCATGATCATGGAAGACTGAGGCTCTGTCTTATGCCCACTGTTACCCCACTTCACTTTTAAGTGCCTAGCACAGTGCTAAGCACCAAGTAGGTGATCAATATTTGTCTAGTTAAAAAAAATATGAAGACTGTAGCTTAGAACAGCCTCAGGGTGTGTATGTTATTAATGACTATAATATTCAGTTGTAAAAATGAAACTCATCAATACAAGGCTAAATAAGTTAGTGCATGAATATATTTTATTCTCAAATTCATATACAATATTCAAATAATAGATGTATAATTTTATGATCTATAATTTTCTGTATGTGTAACAAGGTTAAAAGCATAACTGAAATGTGAAATAGTTGATTTTTCACTTAAACTACAGTTTCTGCTGCCAAAATGGAATATAAATGTATATGTTTGAAAAATAAATGATCTGTGACATGTATTGGTCACTTGGGCTCTAATGGGGAAAGACACTTTGGTTCTCCAAACTATTCATAACATTCCTGGATTTTGTTTTATATCTAAAAGATAGGTTAAAAGCAAATATTTACATCTCGAATCATACATTTCTCATCATTAAATAATCAAGCTTAAAAAACTGATCTTAGAAACACTTTTAAAAATCACAAAAGAATATGCTAAGAGATTAACATGCAGTGTTAGCCCCCACTCTGCTGGAATGATAAAGGGACTTTACTTTCATTTACGTCATGAGGGAAAAAAAGCTTTAAGCTCTAGACCAAAATCACTAGCTTCTATAGCTCTAAAGCAATAACAAATTATTTAGTTGAGACTGCTGTGCCTTTTTAAAAATCCCTCACAAGAATAGGAAGCAGAAAAAAAAAGCAGCTGTGTTTTATTCAACTGTTCACAGGAATTTTTATATCCTGGTCGTTAAACACTTATTTTGTAGGCCATTCTAAGAATATGGCAATAGCTGTTACATAAAATACTGCTTTGTAATATTCATAAGAATAAGGCATTTTACCCTGTCTAAAAAAAATAAGAAGAAAAAAGCCCTTCACCGGGTACCCTTTATCCTTAGAACAGTAAAATCTGGTGCTTGATTTTTCCATTCCGGAGCAATTCTTCCCCATCACCCTCTAGAGCATGTCAGAAAATGTGAAGGACTTTGAAGAAATTAGAATCACATTCAGACTTTCTTTGAAAGTAGCCATAAAGAACACTTTTTAAGGCCAAATTAGGTTACTTCTTGAAGTGTACCATCTAGCAAGAGCCAAGGAACCTGGCACCCAATTTCAAGATATTTTTTCTTTTCTCAAAAATCTTTATAAAAATATGCTCACTCGAATTTAGAATTTTTCTCTCTTCCAACTATGGTGGTACAATAAAAAAAAAAAGACTTATTTGGTTATAAAGAATATTTGGTTATAAAGAGTAGCTGCACTTTAAAAAGCAATCTCATGGTCTTGATTTTTCTGTGCTCTATGCCCTTATTTTAATCTAGCAACTGCATTTTAATAAGCTCAGTCTAAAGACTTTTTTAAAACTGCAGTTTAATACGTATATTAAATTTTAAAAAGGCAACATCATTAAGAAAAAAATTCCCAAATACTAGGGGAGGAAAGGGCTTTGACTCTCCTTTCCTAATGAAAGAGCATTTTCAGAATTTGGGTAGAATCCTATGCCACCAATGGGTAACTCCTCTGTTCATTTTCTTAGGAAGTTTCCCTTGAATAAAAGAAGATCCTAAATTAACAATGTATCTTCATGTGCATCTTCACAAACATCCAAATATACAAGAAAGTCCACTGACTCTTCCTTCTACTACCTTAATGATGTTTCCAAACAGCTGGTGAAATCCAGAGGCCACTGAGTAGCAACTGTATTGCAATGTCTTTTGATTAGCTGATTTAAATCTTCATTCAAAAATGAATCCCCCTGTAAAACTTTATCCTGAAAAAATATTAAAAGTATGAGTTAAAAGTTCTTATGCCATAAGCAAAAGCCAAGCTATACAGCAAAGCTGAAAATGGCAACAGCTGATACTAAACCAACAAGTGACAGATGCTGGGTCTGGTCTTGGACAATTCCTGTACTGAATGGTACAGTCTCATGACTGTCTCTACATAGAATTTCAACCCCAGAGATCCATCCTACCATCTACTCCTATACATGAAAAAAAAAAAAAAAACCTACAAAACAATTAGGCAAGTTGGAAGTTACTAAGAGATATCTTAGTTTAGTTTTTATTTCATCTTTTAAAAAATAATGAAAAGTATGACACACCTTCATTTTGGAGCTTGAAGTTTCCACAGGAGGATTGAATGTCATTGCTGCCATGCTATAAGTCTCAAAAAGTTCTGCAGCAGATCTATAATCACAAGTAGAAATGTAAAGACACCACCATACTTGTATAACCTGAAAATAATTAACTACACCCAGAGAATGACTGACTCATTACTCTAAACCCATGTATTAAAGGTATAAAATAATCCTGCTCGTGAAACCAACAAATCAACACACGTAAAATCAATCCTAAATTCCCATGTAATGACAACATTTCTTCAACTGAATCTACCTCAGATGGCATCTGGTATACATTTAGAAATACAAGTCTGGACACAGAGAAGGCTGAGCAGAAGACCTCAAGCTCAGTGTGATCAAACCCCAACGCAACCACAGTTATGGGTTGAACTTGGTCATGGGAACCAGAGTTGTGAAACATGGAGTTATCCTCCATAGATTTCAAACAGCTCAACCCTTAAAAGCCAGGAGGGGCCATTCAGGGCAGAATAAACGTCCACACTCATGGCATGTAAACAAATTCTTAATGACCGAGGCTGGTTCACATTCTCCACAGGAGATCAGCAAGGGCCTGCAAGGGTTGTATGGGGGTCACATCCCAAGCTCCACTCTCCAAGGGGAGACACCATGAGTCTCCTTTCTCAAGTCTCTGGGATAAACCCATTCCTCACCTTCCTCCTGAACAGGAAACCTCTGGCATAAATGAGGCAAATGTTCAGGATCTCTAACAAACACTTGCCAGAAAAGGATTATGGAAAAAAAAAGTGACAAAAAATTGTTTTCTCCTTTTAATCTCTATTCTACCCAGAAGAAAAAGGTTTATGAAAAACTACAGAGTTTATGTCTCATTTAGAAGGGTGAGCAGCTAACTTCTGCCATGTAAAATATATAGACCTATTTTGCCACATATCCCAGTATTTTAAAAGAAGCTGAAAATGTGTTTTTTAGGTGAATTCTTCTGATATTAAAAAGATAATAAGTAATTCCATTTTTGTTCAAACTCTGAGAGGCCAGAAAATCAGCTTACTGGCCTACAGGTCACTTGCCTGTGATGTGTGAATTTAAAAACCAGTGTATTTGCAAAGATGGAGAAAAATCCACAGCATATTAATTCTGAGTGGTCAGTATATTACAAGGGTGTCTTTTATACCATTTTCTCTTCTTTTCTGTATAACTAAAGTATTTCCTAACTGATTTTGTGGACAGAAAGGTAATTACTATTTTTTCAACTTTTCTGTACTTTTGAGATTTTTCAGAATAAAAAGGTGGGGGAAAAGAAACTTCTTTTAGAGGACCCTTTTCCCACTCTGGAAGAGTTAAAGTTAATGCCGGAGCGGTGGTCCAAGCTTCCTGCACATCAGGAAGCCCCACAGAGATGGCTGTGAAGGCCCAGGAGAGAAACTGGTGACTTTCTGGGCGGCAGTGTTCCAAAGCACTTCTTTTCTCTCTCTCCTCATTTCTCCTGGCACTAGCAGGACCATTCAAGAGAAAAAAAAAGGAATCTCACTGTGGTTGGACTCATCGATCTTCACATAAGCATATATGGCATTTTCTTATTAACTGTTGAACCTGAGTAACGGGCATACCGGAATTCACTATTCTTTCTACTTATCTACCTATACGTATGAAAATTTTTATGACAAAAAATGTTAAGATTAACCAAAACTAACAAAAGCATGTTTTTTCTTTAAAACAATTCAGGAATATGAAGTAAGACCAAACCCAGATAACCAACTAGCACTTTACATTTTAAAATCTCTTCCTTTATAAAAGGGACTTTCACAGTAAAGAGCTATCAACTGAAATCGCAGCTTTATAAGGCGGCGATGCTGAGTCCTACCTTCGGCTCAACTCTGGCTTGAGTGCATCAGAGCCATCCAAAGGGGCCCCCGCGATGAGGTGAGCTGCAAACCTCTGCACTGTAGGATGGAAATGTCTCTGAGAGGGAAATGGGACAACCACATTTTGCACAGGTTAGTACTTTATAAAACACTAGCTACAGCAAAGATTTTACTTAACAAACAATTTAAAAAAAAACTGTATATGTAAATATAAATATTAATTCATAAGAACCACATAACTACAAGAAAAATACTATCTTTGCTCACATGATTACAACACAAATCTGTTTGATGACCAAGTCACCAGTGACATAGCTTAGTCTTGATTTTACCATATGAAAAGAAAAATCAAAAATCAGAGGGAAGAAGTTAGTTTGCAACAGGTTTCCTAAAACATTTTCTATGAGTCTCAGTCTAATGCTGTCCCCACTGTAGAACCATGAGGTAGGTGAAACCCTCTTAAGGCCAGCAGGCCTATCAAAGTCTTCTTGGATAGGACCCAGTACAAATGTGCCTGGTAAGGAAAAGGTGTCAACACTTACCCCGCAAAATTGTCATTTGCAGCTTCCTTTGAAAAATGTTATCTCAACAGCTTAAAGAGTAGTAAGAGCAAAGTGACATGCAGACTGTTAAAAGAGGAATTCTACATAAGGCGGTCTCAGAACAAAATATATTAAGTACTCTGGCCATAACAACTACTAGGGGAAAAAACTGAACAAAATAAAATAGGGGGTACAGGGGGTACCACTCTTACCCGTAGCACATGCAGTTCCCAAAGAGCGGTGTTCTGAGCATTGCAGTACTCGGGTTCATCGAGTTCAGGGAGGAAAACCCCACTTCCCTGAGATTCACTGTCAAGCAACAGATCTGTTTTGGGGAAAGTCTGTAAAAATGTCACATAAGAAGGATTAATTAAATTAATATTGTTAATTTAAAGAAGGCTACTGGATTCTGCATTTTTATTTGTAGTTAAATTTCATTTGATTTTAAGGTTATATAAGAGCTATAAGCATATGGACTTCATACTTAGTTTTAATTTTTGAAATTTAAGCTTATAGCATATGAGAACGAAAATTGCCAAGGGTTATTTTCTTGGCTTGCTAAGAATTTATCTTGCAAGAGAAAACAGAATATTCTTTTCACCCAGCAATCCCACTTTTAGGAGTCTTTCCAACACAAATAATTAGATACACATAAGTATATTCATTATAGCATCATTTGTAATAGCTTTTTAAAAGGAAAAAAGCTATATCAAAAGAAAAATACAAAGTATAAAAACCAGACTTGCCTGAATTTCAATCCCACCTCTGCCACTCACTAGCAGTGTCACCTTAAGCAAGTTACCCATTCTCTCTGGACCTCAGTTTTCCCCGAAATAATAATAGTAGCTACTTCACAGAGCTGTTACAAAAATTCAGTGAGTTAATTTTTGTAGAGCAATTTTTATAGTGGCAGGTACATAGTAAGAACTACATTAAGTGTTAAGCAAATAACTTTATTTAGTCATTAGAGAAATAAAGTAACTATATTTGTACTGACACAAAAAAATGTGTTCATCACCATTAAGTGTTAAAAAAAAGTCATGTTGTTAGTGTTTAATGTACGCATTTATATTTACGAATTTTTTAAAAGTTTGCTGGAAGGATACCCACCAAACAGTAAAAATGGCTACCTCTGGAGAGTATCACTAAGAGTGAAATGCTTTCCTTTTGTAATTCTATGTACTTCCCTAATCGCCTGATTAAGACATGCCTCAAACAAAGCACCGCTGCTGCAGGGCCAGAACTTACATCCGTATCACTACTTACATGCATTAATATTCTGTTAGTTGCCAGAATGCCAATGCTTGCATTTGGAAGAACGTGAAGAGCAAGGGTGCAGAGGCGCTTGATGAAGGCAAGGGCTCGCTGCTGAGAAACCTGCTTTCTGCGCTTAGTTAGCATGATGTCAAGGCACTGGAGTACAATCGCAACCCCTTCACTGGTAGCACCTAAAATAGCAGATACACTCTTCATTACTTTTTCATTATGCAGCCTCACCTACCTCCAGAAAAACCCAAGATCAACCATCGTATCTGTCCCAAATCATTTCCCTAACCCACAAAGCAGACTATACTGCTCAGGAGACGCAGTGGGTTACAGGGCATCTTCAATGGATTCTAGTTCTCTCGCTCCAAGTCTTACTCAAGGTTAAATACAGACGTGTGGCACTGGCAGGCCAGCATTTTATACACCAGTACCTAGTTCTCATTTTTCATTGACTATAATTCTGGTCACAACATATTCTTAAAAGAAATATTTATTAAAGACACATTATCTAAACATACATACCTGCATGTAACTTGAACAGTGTTTTGTAAAGATGTGTATAGAATTTCATTGGATCAATATTCAGAACATCACCTTTGAAATGACAACAAATACCAATTAGGTATGTTCCAACCTCCAAAGGTAAAGCAAACAAACTTGATTAACAAAGCATCTCACCTTGACCGGAAAGAATATGAAAAGCAGTCTGGACACAATGAAGACTTTCTTGATAGCTTAGGTCCTTTAAAAAAAGGGAGAGATGTTAAGAATAATAATACCATTTATATCTTTTATTAGTTTCGAGTATACAATACATGGGTTAGACATTTATATAGTTTATGAAATGATCCCCCCAATACTCCATTTAATCTATCAGGCTCTACACATAGCCATTACAATACTACTGGCTACATTCCCTATGCCATGCTCCCCATCTCTGTGACCATCTTTCAACTACTAATTTGTCCCTTTGTAACCCTTCACTCCTTTCTTCCAGCCTCTTAAACCCCTTTCAAGGCAATCACCACAATGTCCTCTGTATTTGTGAATCTATTTTCATTTTGTTTGGTTTTTTTGTTCTGTAGATTCTACATGTAAGTGAAATCATATGGTATTTATCTTTCTCTAACTTATTTCACTCAGCATAATAACCTCTAGGTCCATCTATGTTGTTGTGAATGGTAGGATTTCATTTTTTGTATGGCTGAGTAATATTCCATTGTATATATGAACCACAACTTCTTAATCCAATCTTCTGTTGATGGGCATTTAGATTGCTTCCATATCTTGTCTATTGTGAATCGTGCTGTCATGAACATAGGGATGCATAGATCTTTATGAATTATTGTTTTGGTTTTCTTTAGATAAATACCCAGAAGTGCAATTGCTGGGTCAAAAATTTTAATTTTTTGAAGAACCTTCAGACTGTTTTCCATAGTTTTTGCACCAATTTGCAATCCCAATGCCATTTACACCTTAAAAAGTAATTCATTAATAGAGTTACTTACACCAGACTCAATGAGACTATGTAGAACCACTAATAAATCATCAAAAAATTCCACATTTATAAGGTGAGCAAACCTAGAATCAAACAAAATGTAGTTAAAAGGTAACCTAAAAACAGAAATAAAGCAGCCAAAAATTAAACGACTTTAAAATTATGTTTTTAACATTCTTTATTCCAAAATGTTAGCTATGATGGAGATGATGATGAAAATTTGTTTACTGATACTTTTCAATAATTTAGATCAGCCTTTTTGACAATTCATCCACCACTGGATCCTATACTCAGCAGAAATATATAAGGCACTAAACAAACTAAATATAGTATTTCAAAACTACTTCTGCCCTGAGAAAGAAGTTGCTAAAAGTAAACAACTTCCCCAGGAAAGTTTAACAGGTGCCCAACACTGTTCTAAGTCATAAAGGACAAGCGGCATCAGCTTCTAAGAAAACAGATGGTGGGAAGAAAGAAAAGAGGAAAGATTCTGTTAGTTATAAGAATATAGACCCCATGTAAGCTTTAAAAGTAAAAGGGAAAAGAAGTTGGACCTGGTGTCTAGTTCAGGTTCTGCAATTAATTACCTTTATGATCCTCCGTAAGTCACTTGGCTGGCCTGGGCCTCTATTTCTAGAAATAACTGAGATCACCCAATAGAGTTAAAGAGAAAGAATCGTGGGAGCTCCTAAATGTCAGGGCACCCTGTACACTATAAAATATTAGGCACTGAAATAGTTCAAAGATAACTCTTCAATATTAGTGCAAGAGCCTTTGACGCTATGTAAATCTTAGAACAAGGACCTTATAAGTGATATAGTCTCCGTGTATTGGTATGACCTTTAGGGGAAGCAATTCGGCAATATTTATCAAACTTTCAAATGAGCATAACCTTTGGCCAGACAATATATGAACTCAAGTGCATGAAGATATTTCCAGTGCAACAAAAGAGACGAGCCAAATAAAGTAAAACAAGGAAAGGCTAGTGACAAAAAAGAAATGAGAACTGAGAAGAACACTAAGTCAGCTTTAGTAAACCCTGTTTAAAAGTCATGGTTACTTCAGTCTTATTTAGAAAGAATCTAAAAGGTTTCAGCCTACACAGCCCTTACTTGGCAAGACCTTCTAGAACCACTGGCAGGAGAGGTGACTTCTGGGCCTTCTTCAATATTCTGAAGTAGGTCACAAACACAATATTCAAAGTCTCCGTGTGCTGGCAAAAGAAACAGACAACGGGATTTTAGTATAACCCAGTACATGTTCTCCTGAGTTACCATAGTTAGCACTTTCAAAGCTCAACCTTTTTTGTCCCTTTCCATCCTTCCCCACGATTCAATCTTAGGAGCTTTGACAAAACAGAATGAAGATACACAGCCCGTGACTTCATAAAACCGGCACTGATCACATTACAGTTACTTGCACATCTCATATCCAAGCCTCGTGAAATAAACCAAAATTACATAACCACAAGTTAAAACAATAAGTCCCTAATTAAAATTATTTAACAAAACATTTCATAGGCATAAGAGAATGTGAAACTGCCTACCAGTTTAAGTTTTTTCTCAGAACTCTCTGAAGCTTCTGCCTCTCGAAGCTCTCGCTCCAGCTTCTCTTCTGCTTTCTTCCACTGAAAATAGATTGAAAAGAAGTAAGAGTATATACCACTGAGTGAAAAAAACATGCTTCAGGGGCATAATATGTAAACATTACGAAACACATACAACACTATGTGTTTCATAATATTTAAATCAAATATAAGCAAAAGTACAAAAATGTGGCTAAGAAGCATACACAAACCAAACTCATGACAGCGACTGCCTTCTGGGAGGAAGGCACAAAAACTGAGACAGGGGTCTGAGACCAAAGGGGATTCTAATTCTGGTTTCTTACTTTTCAAGAAAAAAACTGAGGTGAGTCTATTAATATCTGCTCATTCAGAAAGGTGGATACATGGGATTTACTATACTATTCTCTGTAGTTGTTTTAAACTTAAAATATTTCAAAAAAGAAAAAAGAACATGCTGAGCCCAGAAATAATTCTCGATATTAAATCATCTGACATAGAAACCAGACATCAACAATATTTCCCAAACTCATTTATATACAAGGCATAAAACCAGATACACTACAGAAATTTAATAAAATACCAATTTTTTTCCACTTCCTTATACTGTAAGAGCAGCAAACAATGGTTGTTAAGCTGCCTGAAACACAGGGAACAGTTTCCTTCCCTCGTGTGAGGCTGCTAAAGAGCTTCCACATTCTTATTACACTTTTGCTTCCCTACAGCTACATACATGCTGTTCTTACCAAGCATCTCCAACTTATGTTAAGGAAATACGGAATAAATAACGAAAATATCTACCTTCATTTCATTTGTTTACACTTATTACGTTTAATTTGATATTCTGTCACATTTTCAAAATTATTAGATACATTCGAAGATGGATAACCTGGAAATTATTTTTGTTTTGTTTTTATAAGCAATTTGCTAACCCTACTAAACTGTTTAGAAATGTTCTGAGACGTGATAGCAACAGTGGTGGTGGTGGTAACTAATGTTTATAAAGCACACCCAGTGTTAGGCACTCTGCTGAATTCTTTACGTACATCATCTTACTTAAACTACACAATGACTCTGCAAGGTGGTGGCTTTTTTTTTTTAAATTAATTTATTTATTTTAATTAGTTTCAAGTATACAGTACATTGGTTAGACATTTATATAGTTTATTAAACAATCCCCCTAGTTGCTAACTAATGTTTATAAAGCACACCCAGTGTTAGGCACTCTGCTGAATTCTTTACGTACATCATCTTACTTAAACTACACAATGACTCTGCAAGGTGGTGGCTTTTTTTTTTTAAATTAAATTATTTATTTTAATTAGTTTCAAGTATACAGTACATTGGTTAGACATTTATATAGTTTATTAAACAATCCCCCTAGTTTCTAATTCTCTCCTCTGGCTTTCCTCCTAGCCAATATATTAATGCTAATTGCACTGGTGGGTACTTTCAATTAGCTCCATTTCTCAAAGTTAAAAAAAACAAAAAAAGGTGTCCAAAGTCTCATAGTAAATAAACAAAGGTTTCAAACACAAACCAATAAAGAAACATGATTCAATTAACAAAACCTACTTCACATGAATACAACCTTTCTGTTAAGAAAAGAATCTGTGTCACAATGAATCTAAGATGATCTTAAAAGCCAGCATGGCAAGAAAATCTTTTCATCTATTGCTCTCTTTGCAAATGAATTGTCAGCTTAAACTGATATCATAAAATATTTCTTTGCAACAATTGGGAAAAACTAAATTCTCTAAGTATTTGATTTTAAAATATTTATAATTATGATTTAATTATGATTTTTACATGTGCCTAAACTATGATTTTAATCTAAAAGCAAATAAAATAAAAAAAGAAATAAATCAAACCTTTCTCTGCATTCTTGATAGATTTTTTCTCTTTTCCTTGAACGTCATGAACTTTTTTGGTTTATTAATGTCTTCTGTATCTTTTTTCACTTCTACTTCTTTGATTCTTAAGCACAAGAATGTTTTCAATATCTAATATTGAAGGAAACACAAACACTTAATATTTATACTGCCCTCAAAAAATTTATACAGAAAAACAAGCATTTAAACAGTTATTTCCCTTTTTCATGCAAAAAAAAAAATGCAAAATATCTTTTACCACATTTTACACAAAGTTCTATTACATCTTTTTGCTAAACATAGTATGTCTATGAAAGAACAAACTAGTATTTGACTAAATACATGTAATATTACTTTATAGTTTAATGAAAATAAGGAAGAGAGAACACATTATTTGGCACTGGAATATATCATTATAAAGAGTAGGCAGGCCAGAAAAAGGTTTAGACCAGTATGGGAGGAGAAGATATAAATTAGGTTATTTCTAAGCCAGCTTCAGTTTACCAAACCAGCTTTAGTTTTATAGCAAACAGTTCTGATCTTCATCTTTTTCATATTAAAAAAACATGACAACAAGTGTTATTAATTGTAAGAACTTATTTTCCTTCTTGACAATGGGTCTCCAACTTTAGCAAACATCATCACCTGAGGGGCTTTTTAAAACACAAACAGCTGGACCCCAGTGCAGTTTCTGATTCAGTAAGTCTGGAGTGGGGCCCCAGAACTTGTATTTCTAATTCCCACTGATGCTGGTCCAAGGACCACAATGAGAACTATTGCCTTAAGCCATTCAAAAAATTGAGACGCTAATTTGGAAGCAGGTGTTTTGTGTGTTATAGCAACTATCCAAACACAAAGACAAAAGGAGTTTAAAATCCTACATTTCCTGGGGAAGAAACCATTCTATTGATCTGCAGTCACAGAAACATTTCCAGAAAGAAAAAAAACTTGAAAACTACAGCTTTATATTTTTCCATTATGTACACTGGAAGAAAACTGACTATTTCAGAGTACAGGGCTTAAAAGCATAAAATGAAAACAGAGAAGAACTACATGCATAAATAGTGAACCTAAAGTTACTCTAGGTATCAGAAAGATCAACTTGAGTATCTTGTAGGTATTCTATGTGCTCATAAAATACTAGCCACTGATGAAAAATAACTCCAAATTAAAGAATATAATAGCCTTGGCAAGAGCACCGAAAATACACAACAGAGAAGGACATTCTCTTCAATAAATGGTACTGGGAAAAACTGATACTACATGTAGAAGAATAAAACTGAACCCTTATCGTAAACCATTCATGAAAATTAACTTGAAATGGATTAAAAACTTCAGTGTAAGACGTGAAGCTATAAGACTCCTAGAAAAATAATAAGGCAAAAGGTCCCTGACACTGGCCTTAGGAATGTTTTTTTGGATATGACACCAAAAGCACAGGCAACAGAAGCAAAAATAATCAAGTGGGATCACATTAAACTAAAACTTCTGCAAACCATCAATAGAATGAAAAATCAATCTACAGAATGGGAAAAAAAATATTTGCAAATCATATATCTGATAAGTGGTTAATACCCAAAATACATATGGAACTCACACAACTAAATAGCAAAATCAAATAATCTGATTAAAAAATGGGCCAAGAATCTAAATAGAGATTTTTCCAAAGAAGACATATGAATGCCCAAAAGGTATATTAAAAGGTGCTCAACATCACTAATCATTAGGGAAATGCAAATCAAAACCACAGTGAATTATTACCTCACACCTATCAGAATGGGTATTATCAAAAAGACAAGAAATAAGTGTTTAGCATGGATGTGGAGAAACGGCAACCCTTATGAATTGTTGGTGGGAATAAAAACTGATCAGCCACTATGAAAAACAGTATGGAAATTCCTCAAAAGATTAAAAACAGAATTATCACATAATCCAGCAATCCCACTTCTGGTTATATAACCAAAGGAAGTGAAATCAGTATTTCAAAGAGATATGTGCACTCCCATGTTCACTGCCGCATTATTCAGAATAGCCAAGATATGGAAACCGCCTATGTATCTGTAGACAAATAAATGAATAAAGAAAATGAAGTATATACATGTAATGGAATATTATTCAGCCATTAAAAAGAATCCCACCATTTGTGACAACATGGATGAACCTAGAGGGCATTATGCTAAGTGAAATAAACCAGACACAGAAAGACAAATACTGTATGATCTCACTCATGTGTGGAATCTAAAAAAGTCAAACATCTATAACCAGAGAGAACACTGATTGCCAGGGAATGGATCAAATGGGGAAATGTTGGTCAAATGATACAAACTTTCAGTTATAAGATGTCTAAGTTCTGAGATCTAAAGTACAGCAGGATGAATATAGTTAATAATACCTTATCATACACTTGAAATTTGCTACAAGAGTAAATCTTAAGTATTCTCACCACACACACAAAAAAAGTAACTATGAGAGGTCATAGAGGTGTTAATTAACTTGATTGTGGTAATCACTTCACAATGTACACATATATTAAATCATCACAATGTACACCTTCAAAAAATTCACATTGTACTATCTAAATATGTACCCCAAAACCCCAACACATTAAAGAATGTAGTTTATAATTCTAACATCACTAAAATGAAAGTGTTTCCCTATGACCAAGTTTCATGTTCTTATTACCTGATCATTCTACCATTCTGAGTAAAAATACTGAATATTTTCCTCTTACTTAAGCCCAATTTCTATAATTTTAGCAGTTGAACTAAAATTATTGGCTTTAATGAAAGGAATTTTATGGCCAAAAAAAGACAAATTAGGAAATAAACAGTAGAAAATATCAACTTAATCAAAACTACAAGACTAAAAATAAAGTTAATAAAAATAAGACTCGAATGAGGAAAACCATAAAATTTCACTTAAGAACATAAAAGCCTTAAATATATGGCAAAATATATGATATTTTTGAACAGAAAAAAATTAATTCTGTAAATATTTTAATTCTCCCAAACTAATCTACACATTTAATCAACTACAATCAAATTCTCTGTATGGACTATTTTGGGAGGGGAAAGTAAAAATCTAATTTTAAATCCCATCTAGAATACATTAAAATCATTTAAAATATTTTGGAGAAAAAAAGAATGATCCATGCCTTTTACTGCAATGCCCATTTAGATGAGCACCATCCTACTTGATACATTATAGTTATCTACACTGATACCATACACGCACAGAAAGAATTAAATATTTAAATATAAATACTTAATCAGATTAAGTATTTAAATATAAAAACTAAAATGCTTCTGGAAGAATTCTTTCGGAAAGAGAGAATCTATAAATCTTGGGATTGAGGATCTATCCATGACAAAAATTCACCTCATATATAAGGGAGGAGAAAATGACAGTCATTAATTAAAATATAAAATTTCTACAAAGCAAAAGAGACCAAAATACAGAATTAAAAGTCAGAGCAACAAACAAATATTTGAAACTTACAGAGACTTATTATCCTTACTATGTAATGTAAGCTCAAAAAACACAGAGCGTGTTTCTTTTGTTCACTATTTTATCCCCAGAACCTAGACTAGTGCCTAGTACACAGCTGATATTTACTGAAATGAATATTAAAAAAAGTTATTACGAGCCATTAAGAATGACAAATACCTGAGAAAAACTGGCAAAGAATAAAAACAGGCAAAATATTCAAATGATGAATAAATGTCTAGAAGTAAAACCTAATAACGATGTATTAACAAAAAATATATATGTAACATACAGTATTTTTTACCTACCAGACTAACAAAGATTAA